GAGACGTAGGGGAACGTATTTACTACCTTAAAATCTTCAGCCAAGTGTAAAGTAATAACATGTTTTTAATATACATGATGAACAATAGTGGTTCAATGGCTGAGTCCCAGAAAACACATCTAGTAATGTTCTGAGGGTCGGAGAAGTATTGCCCTATTCTCGCTACTCGAATACGATCATTTAAGAAGGTTAAAATCCAATCTTACATTTTACTTGACATACCGAAAGGATTCTATTCTTTATCAGAGTTTTACTCTATAGTACACTATGTTGACTTGCCATTATTTTATTTTACCGCTCGTTGCCTTATCTATAACTCATATATTTTTATACTTTTCCGCCTACTTTGGTTAACAACTATCCTACATTATCCCCTTTCTTACTCTGATTGGCAACATATACTCTATTCTACAGTCAATTAAAGCATTGCATCGATGACACAGTTCATAATTTGTAACTGCCTGATAAGCTTGTAAAATGGTACTTAAAGAAATAATGTTTTACAACAGCATGTGATACACAAAGCATTCTGTGGGGTATGATATATGTACAAAAAAATCTCATATGAGCCTAACATGACAAAAGAATGGAGGGTGGGGTTACTGACCAGCAACCATTGATGGTGAGGGCAATGACTTCAATCCACCCATCGTTGTAGGGCAAAACATTTTGTTTTTATCAGCCTCCTTATGACTGCAAACAAGTCAGTACTTCCGTGATATTGAGGTTGTTCTACTACACTCAACTCCGCCCGTAGCTCTTCTTGATTTATTGCCGGTCTCAAGCCTGGGTGAGGGAGGAGGGTTGAGTGCAGGGTTGGCAACCTCATCCTGTAGAAAACAAACTTGCTGGGAATGTCATGGCTTCTGAAACATCAAATCATCATTGAAAACAAAGAAGAAGGTAGTGTGATACAGTATTATTCATTCACTAATGATAGTAGAGACGACGATAAAGATCAGTTTCACGAGAGGCTGCAATCAACCATAGAAAAGTGCACAGGAAAAGAATATGACCATCATGATGGAGACATATACGCCAAAGTCGGAATGGACAACACTGGATATGAAGATATCATAGAACGACGTGGATTGACTGAGTGAAAGGAACGAGAATGGTGAGAAATTTGCACATTTATGTGCATTCAGTAAAGTGGTTATAGGCAGTACAATATTCCCTCACAAAGCTACATGTATCTCACCGGATCCCACTACACGGAACCAGATAAATCATATTTGCATCACTAAACAATTCAGAAGGTCAATGGAAGAGGTGAGAATCAGGAAAGGAACCGACATATCTTCAGATCACCACTAGCTGGTGGTTGTCAAGATGAAACTGAAGCTAAGGAAACACCGGAGAATTGAACAACCATCATTACAAAGATTCAATACAGCCTTCCTTCGACATACTGAAAACTCAAGGAATTCAAGATAACTTTCAACAACAGGCACAAGCTGAATACAAAGAAGCAAGTTAGCAAATTATGACGAGCAATGAAGCTGAGAAGCAGAAATATGTGAAGGAAATAGCAACGACGGTTAAAAAGTCTGCAAGAGAAGGAAACAAGAGACAACTATATGGCACGACGAATAAACTTTCAAGGAAATATAGTAAATGGGAGTGACTGGTCAAGGACAAAGGGGGCAGGTCAATCACAGAAATTCAAGAACGGCTGAACAGATGGGTAGAGTACTTCGAGGAACACTTGAATAGGCCGGCTTCAGTGAATTCACTAGCTACGAAGCACCACACACAGATCTTCCTTTAGATGTCAATCCATCAACGACGGAAGAGATCAGAATGATTATCAGACAAATCAAGAGAGGGAAAACAGTAGGACCAGACAACATACCAGCTGAAGCACCGAAGTCAGACATCGAAGTAACTACAAACATGCTTTACCTTCTATTCAAAAAGATTTGGGAGGAGGAACAAGTGCCGATGGACTGGAAAGAAGGACAGCTCATCAAGATCCCAAAGAAAGATCTGAGCAATTGTGTAAACTACAGAGGCATTACACCACTGTCGTTATAGAAACTTCTTCGACATTATGGAGTTCCTAAGAAGATTTTCAGCATTATCCAGAACTCGTACGACGAACTACAGTGCAAGGTCGTACATGGACGACAGCTGACAAATGAGTTTCAAGTAAGGATTGGAGACAGACAAGACTGTCTACTCTCTCCCTTCCTCTTTCTTCTGGCGGCTGACTGGATTATGAAGACCTCAACATCTGAAGGAAAACATGGAATACAATGAACAGCTCAGAATCAATTAGACGATTTGGACTTTGCAGATGACCTAGCCCTCCTATCACGTACACACGAACAGATGCAGACATAGATAGCTAGTGTAGCAGCAGTCTCTACACCATTGAGCCTCAACATACACAAGGGGAAAACCAAGGTCCTCAAATTCAAAGCGGAGAACACCAATCCAATCACTCTTGATGGCGAAACTCTGGAAGATATAGAGTCCTTCACAAACCTGGTAAGCAACATCGATGAACAAAGAGGATCTGATGCAGACGTAAAGGCGAGGATTGGCAAATCAAGGAGAGCATTCCTACGATTGAAGAACATATGAAACTCAAAACAACTGTCAACCAATATCAAAGTCAGAATCTTCAATACCAATGTCAAGGCAGTTCTACTGTACGGAGCTGAAATTTGGAGAACTACAACAACCGTCATCAAGAAGGTACAAGTATTTATAAATATTTGTTTAAACAAGATATTCAATATCCATTGGCCGGATACCATCAGCAATAGCCTTCTGTGGGAGAGAACAAACGAGCTTACAGATGAAGGAAATTAGGAAATAATGGAAATGGATAGAACATACATTACGCAAATCATCAAACTGCATCACGAGACAAGCCCAAACTTGGAATCCTGAAGGGGAGCGGAAAAAGGGAGGCCAAAGAACACATTACGTCGGGAAATAGAAGAAGATATGCAAAAGATGAATGGGAACTGGAAGGAGTTGGAAAAGATTGCTTGGGACAGGGTTTGATGGAGAATGCTGGTGGGCGGCCTATGCTCCTTCAATAGGAGTAGCAGGCGTGGGCGGGTCGTCATACGGAGAATCGGGCAGGGATAGTGATATTTGTGAATAAAACGCACATAGTTCAAAAGATAAAGGTTTGACATTGTCAGGTACTCAATCGTCAAACATAGGTGTTACAGATTTTGACCTTTTAGTTGGTTTAAGAGAAGCTGGTGATATTTCTCTTCTACTGAAGTTATTGGCTGTAACTGGAAGTTGGGTGAGTAGAGAACTTGTTTAACTAAATAGAATATCTAAGTATATAGTTATTGTTAGATGTTAACTAGCTTAATTCAGTAATCACTGCCCATGGATGTTCCGTGCCGGTAGGTATTCCTCGTTCTATTGATAGAAGAAATTAGATTAGTAGTGTGTAGGTACTTATTTAGACCGTGGCACAGGACACAATGAAGAGCCGGGTTACCTGTTTAAGCACATAAAGCTTTTCAAAATCAGATAATAAGAAAAATGATACCTATACAAAATAAGTAGGTGAATGAATGCTTCAGCTCTATTGTTTTGACATGTGTCTACATGATTGAGGCCAACCCTTAACTCAACACCACAGTGAACTCACCGGACATCGAAATCAACAGCGGATTTACAAATGGGCTGAATGTGTCCCATTTTATTCCAGTAAAAGCTTTCAGGAAGACGAAACGGTAAATAATGACTTTACCATATGACAAAATCTTACCGAGCTTATGCTCACCTCTGTTTACTGCTTTTCAGTCCTTTAACCAATTGTTTCCTGTTTTCACGAGAATTAGGATTATCATTATTTATTCACCTACCCACATGACGTTTAGTATGCATCGGTTTAGGACACCTAAGTAATGTACTGGAAAACTTAGTGTGCTGGAAGTGGGTTGTGAACATTCGATAAATGCTAGGAGTTGAACCACAATTTTATCATCCATAATATTATTCCTGATCATACTCAAGATTTTAAACCTTTGCATGTACTTCTCGAAAGCTTCAGAGTTTGAATGTATATTTAACTGCCCAATCATTGGCTACACTGTGACGGCAATATGGTAATTAGAAGTATTCGAACTAATGAAAGTAGATGAATAGCGACTATCACTCGAATTTTTATTCGAATCAAAATCACCTTATATCTTCTTGACTATCACGTACGCCTGACATTTCCTTTTCTGCAAACACCTACGATCAAGACACTTAAATTACAAGTAAAAAAAACATACGGAACACCTAGTCAACTATCTCATCATTATAAGGACACTCTGGAGCGTATCCAACGGTGAGCCACGAAATTAGTTCGGTGACTCAAATTCCAGCCTTATGAAGAGCGCTTTCAATCACTAAACCCTTACCCATTAGAGTATAGGCGTCTTAAAGGTGACCTTCTAATGGCTTACATTATCCTCAACACTTCTGGACATCTTAACCATCTTCTTGAGTTTAGCTACTATACAAACCAAAGGGATAACACCCAGAAACTAGAGACACAACATAGCAGAACGGACTGTAGACACAATTTCTACTCCTTAACAGTTGTAGAATTCTAGGTTTCGCTGCCGGCTGAGCTAGTCCAAACGACTTCTCAGGGGTCCTTGAAGAGGAAACTTGACCTATTCTTAAGGACTAAGGATTATATCTTACTATGATTTACCAATTTCTTTTTTCCTCCACTATCGTTAATATACCTAGGTTCCTGCCTGGAAGTATTGGTGATCCACTACTACTAGACACGGAAGCCCGTCAAGCGAAAGCTTCTTCTATTCCGTCTACAACCATTTGAACCATTTGGACATCTTTTCACATCTGACGTTAATATTTAAGATAAACAACCTCACCGGCTTATAGCGACCATATCATTTACAGTTCTAATAATAGAATGTTTCTAATCTTCTAGCCGATGTAACTTTTCTTACTCCATATTCTTGCCAGTCATTATTGTGTGTGTGTGATTGTATGTTGTTTAGACCAAGTACACGAATGAACTGAGTACAAGTGGTGTTTTCAAATATACATATGTTTCTTGTGGTTTGCGCGGACATCACATATTTCTTCAGTGATGGTACAAGGGTCTCCGACAGATAACGGAGCCTGGAGATGGGTTGTAGTTTTTGGTGCATTCATTTCGCACTTCATAACTTGTGGCTTTGAGAAGGGATATTCGATCATTTATGTCGAAATCATACGGGTATACGGTACAAGTGCTGCGATGGCAGCAAGTCTCGGAGGTTTCGCATCAGCAGTTCGTTTACTATTAGGTTTGTTCACAATTTTTATCATTCCTTTAGCCCCTTTGTCGGTTTCATTAAGTGATATTTATTCTGAACAGAAAGTAGTAATGGCCGGTGGGATACTAACGTTTCTGGGTCTGCTCATATCAGCATTAAGCGACCATTTCGCCCTTGTTTTCATCGGATATGGAGTTATATTTGGTAAACTCGATAAATAATTAAACTACTTTAGGTTTCGGATTAACTCTCACATTTACACCCTCACTAGTCATATGTACATATTACTTTCACGAACGTCGTGCTACCGCTCTCAGTCTTTCTCTAGCTGGATGTGGCTTTGCCACAATGATTTTGCCGTATTTTTTCTACTACTTGATTTCTCAATATGGACTCTCTGGAGCTCTGATAATGCTTTCTGCGTTCAGTTTGCATTATTGTGTTGCTGGTGCTTTATACTTCAAAAGGACTTCGTAAAAGAGACTGCTGAATCCAAATTTGACTCAGAGAATGACAAATTGACTTTGCGCTCGCGAGTCTCCAGGTATCTCTGCTTGCTATTGAGGATCAAAATTGCATCTGGAGTATGGGTGAAGCTATTTTTATTTTCATTCATCTTGAACATGATGGGCTCAGGCCCAGTCACAACCCTATTAATCGATTATTCGAAGCAGCTAGGGGTAAGTTGAGTTTCTTTTCTTTTCAAGTGATCATTTTGGGGAGGAAAAAGCTTCCCAGTTATAATGAGCCCTGTTTTTCCTATATTTACACTAGTGTGTCCCAACTGTTAGTCCCATTAGTAAAACTCAATTGAGTTCCACTCCTCAATAGAGCTACATTTTGGGTGTTTATCTTCATTGCTGACAGTTCTTAGTTCTATCACTCTTTGATGATGATAGATTGTCCGGATCCTTACTTAAAGGCATCCATCACAGGCTTTTCTGGTTTTTTCATCCTTTCAAATCATTAGGTGTAATGAAATCTTTAGACTGCCGGAGAGGTGAGAGGCCATATGGTAATGTGCTAAGAAAATGGTTTTCGCTTACATTGTAAACTTTCACTGTTATTATCATACCTAAGATCAGCTAGTTAAACTCAACCTGTGTCCTAAATGTTGAATGTGAATAAATGATTATCCCAGGACTAGATTACCAATAATTCAGCTCTCCATATCACGAAAGTTGGTGTCTAATTAAAGTGGCTGAATGAAGAATTGGAACATCAGTGGTTTGTGCATCAACTACTGCTGCTACCATACGTTTAGGACACTCACGAAAATTCATTTGTAACGGCTTCGTCTCATGTTTTGAGAAACCTTCACTTGCTCAGTAAAATTGTAAGATAACCCCACCTATATCACTACTGAAATTGACACACTCAGACCGTCTACAGCCGTTATGGCAGACTAAATTACTACATCATTATATAATAGTTAATACGCACCGAGCGATAAAAGCTCAAAGAAAGTAGGAAATTTTCAAAAGACAGGACTATTGGCCGACAAAAGATCTAATAAAGTGATGCAGTTTCTAATGTAAACATTTGTAGGACAATTTGAGATCTCAAGCATATAGGAATGTAGAATAAGAACTTTCATACTTCACTTACAATAAAAAAAAGCGAGTAATTTTTCATATTCAGGCTTGGATTTTGAATCCCATACATACTGATTAACTCTATGACAGAACCAAAGAAAGCTGTACTTGAATAAAGTACCCAATCTCTTTGGTTATCTATATGTTTTTATGAGTGAAATTATGATTTCCGTATCATCACTTTGTATTTGGCCGTGTTGGAAAATAAAGCTAACCACATCAAACGAATCACCGTCACCCCATTTAAACTACATTTTCATTTCAACTAACTTACTTTGAAATGTTTTCAACTCAAAATCAAACCTTCCTACTCAAAATATATTCAACTGAGTATTTCTTCATTTCTGTGTTACCAGAGTTATAAAGCTTGACAATAAATAATTAATTAACTATATAATAACAAATAATTAATTAACTAAAACCGTTCTGAAATTAGATTATAGCCAGTTGAGTTGTGGTGAATTGCGGAAAATCTAGTTTTTCCCAGTTACGTCGATGCCGATTTGATTTTTATTTGTCTTGTCTTCAGTTCAATATTTACAAGGTGGCGGCTAAGTATAACATACAGTCAGTCTCACCTAATACCATTGAGGCCACTAAAGAGAATTTTTGGTTGTTACACAAACCAAACGTCTCAGCCTAGCACATTAACTTGTATGCGATTACTGAGTTGTATTTGAGCATTTTGTTGTTTCTATCTATATTAATTTCTTATGATTTCATCTATTTTTCTACTTGATATACCGGTAGCGCACTTCGTAAGTTTTTAAATTGTTAGCCAAACGATATTTTGATGTGATAGTTGATAAAGAGAACTTAGTGGGTTTTCAGTAAACAAATAGTTTTATTTATTCTTTTATATGAAAACGTAGTCGTGCTTCTAATCATCCAGTAAATAAACGTTTGTACCCTGTATGAGTAATAAATAGGTTCAACTGGTTTCTCACTGCGAAATCTCTAGGATTTGATTTGAAGATATCGTCTAATTTGTACGATTTATATTAAAGTAAAAGATCATAGTTTATGGTTGCTGATATTATTTGCATGTGTTTGCCAAATAAACCACTCGAAGTTTATATATCCACTTGTGATAGGGTGGTTACAATTTCAACCATCAGGTCGTGGGTTACAACTTTTCTCCATCCACATCAGTTTAGACATTTGAGCATTGCCACCAGTCCAACACAAAAATGTGTGACTCCAAGTCCTGGACATAAACCTTCACTTGAGTCATGGCAAACTAAGCTAAATGATTGAATACATGATGAAGTGCAGAGAATTTTAACAAAGACGCAACTTGCTCAGCATTTTGTTTAGCAGGATTTTAAGTTGTAGCTACTTAGTATACAAATATTTTTTGAAGGCTTGGCCAAAGCAAGAAAATTTGTGATTTGCAAACGACGCCTATTCTGTCAATAAAATAAACCCATAGATTGTAGTTACACTTCGACTTTGTTTAGTTTTGCTTAGTTACATAGAACTTAGTAAGAGTCTAATCTACATCATATGCTAAATTTCGACGCCCGAAATTCTAACTAGCATCAAATTCTGAATGCAAGAAAATGATTGCTACGACACTATCGTAAGACTGTTAAAGGATTGTAGTTTTCATAAACAAAATTGACTCGTTAGTCTACTCGCTTCCTTATATGGAAGTATTTGTTGGTAATTTAATACTAAACATCTGGATAGTCTAAGTATTCATCCATTAACGGTTAATTTCTTGCAACAAATCTAGCCATAATTTCTACGGAAAGTCTAGAATTTACTTTCTGAATTTTAAAAACAGTGTCATTTAAAATTCTTTTTAACTTTTAAGGTTATCGGCGCTCAGTCAGTACAATTACTTGCTATTGAAGGTACAGTACAGTTGGTGATGCGAATAGCTCTGGGATTCATTTTCGATTATCGTTTCATAAAACCTCATAGAGGTATTATATGGACTGGAGGAATAGCATTTTCTTCTGTAATAATTATCTTTATTACATTTGCCTCTCAATTGAAGTATTTGTCCGCTCTTATGTTTTTGCGAGGGTTATTTTTGGCTCTTTATATCTCTCAGCAAGCTGTAGTTTTATCGGATTTATGTGAAGGACAACCAGAAACAACGAGTCAAACAATTGCTATTGCACAAATCTGCAAAGGATTAGGAACGTTGATTGGATCTTACTTTTCTGGTAAGTTATTTAGTTGTACTTAATTACTTGGTTTTAGATTATCCAGGCGGTGATAAAACTGAGTCATTTCATCTTACTTGGTTTCTGTGAAGTTGCTAGGACAAATATTTCATACATTAAGTTGCATATAGATTATTTAATAGTTCCCGTAATAATAATACAGGTGGAATTCCATAGTTTATTCAGAAATTGTTGTATAGTGCATCAAAATACCAGCTCTTTAATTGCTATTGTAAAATTTTTCCATTACACAGAACAAGTCATCAGTTAGTAATTAAAAGTTATTAAGATTAAGTGTTTGTGCGACATGGATTAAATTAAAGCATGTTCCTCTCAGGCCTTTGTTGGGGCACTCTGACAGTTATCTCTAACGGATACTCGAGGAAGACTATAATCTTCGTGCGTAAAACTATAAATATATTGTTTTTCTTATTGTGACCCCTACTTCTCTTCAACCTTGTTTATTTCGAATATAATTACGTTCCTAGTCAATTGTGTTCTGAATTGGGCCTTCTTGAGTGAAGTGAAATGTCAAGATAATACTAAACAATAAGAGTAGCTAATTGGTAATGAGAGAGATCCTAACAGCAACATAATAAAATCTTATTTTTAAGAACAGTTAATCAGTAAGTTTAAATAGAGAGAACAAAGTTCCTGGTATTATGAGGATTTTAAACGTTTATGGAATTCGGTCTATAAAATGAGAGACTTCGTCTTGTCATAGGACTTCGTTGCTTCTTGTATTAGTCAGTCCACATTTTGGTGAGTTGCGACGTTTTCATAACACCTGCTTATGACGTATGTTATGGTTAACATTCTGGTGAAGTTTGTTGTTATATAATCAACGCACCAACTATCTGAGTGACTATGAAACATAGAAGTGAAAATTATATAAAAACTAAATATACAGATGAGTGAATTTTGACCTTTCAAAATTATTTTTTCAGCATGTAGTGAGAAAAACAACTGGTTTTGTTTTGACACAAAGAATCAAGGAAGCGAAATATCCAGTAAACAATACTAGTATTGTTTACACAATAACGATGATGTTTATTGATTGAATAGGTTTCGAGACTATATTTCAAACTAACTGATTATTGAACAATAACCAATATCCTTTTCGCCTATTCTTTGGCACTGAACTGCTCTTATCAACCACGTTACAGTGTGTGGCCCCTAATTAAGTGGCTGCATGTCGTGCTGCACTGTATCTAATTATACAGAATCATGTACTCTGTTTCTAGCCCCACTGTTTGTATGAAGATTGTAGAAACTATTCGACTTTCTAGACATAATCAGGTGAAGAAGGATTTGAATCAGTTACTTCTTTTGGAAACCCAGTGCTCTAATCACACTATCTGTGCTTCTCTGTTTGTATTTACAAATAATAGTCATTGAAACAATTTAATATGATCAACCATTTCTATATGCTAGCTTTTTTTCTTTATCAGGTCTAATCAAAGATTATACTGAAGATTATCGTCCTGCCTTTATTTTCCTTGGTATAATGCAATTCATTGGTTTTATCACAGCGATTACTTCCATTATGTGGGCGCGAATGAATTTACGTAAAGAAAAATATTTACTTGCTGCTGACAATTTATTATCTAATACTAGTGTTGCAAATGTTTCAGAAGCTTCATTATCACAACCGGTGTTAAATGAAAATAAAACCTCAAATAATAATCAACTTAGTCCTTCTTCATCTCCTCTCTTTATCCATAAGGAGATTAATGAAACACGTACACTTCAAAATCCTAAAATATGATTTTTTTTGGTAATAAGATGTCTTCACTTCTTACACTATTCAAGTGAGTAAAATATCTACACTGTGATTATTTTTATTGAATTTCAACAGTTAGATTTGTTGTTTCATGATTTAAGATTTAAATTCTTTTCAGACATTCATCTGCTTTAGTGATAATGTCAGTCAATCAGTCAGCTACAACGTAAGACCAAGCACATATATGCATCGGTCCAAGTTGCCATACCTCATTAGCACATCAAGATGGACACCGGATTCATAAAAGTAATTAATTCAGAGGTGGTAATATATAAAAGAAAGATTGCAATAAGGATATAGTATAGGAAGAAAGAATTAGTTAGTAGAAGGAAAGATATGAAGTGATTTTATTCTCTTAGTTTAAGGGAAGACAGGGAGTGTATACACCTACACCATTGTGATCGATTCTGAGCCATGTCACCAAGAGTCTCCAATCATTGGTTACGAAAGTCACGCGGACCCCAACCAAGTAGTCTGCATCTATCAACATGGCTCAGATTAGAAGTTAGTGACTTCAAGCACTGATGCCACGTTTTGGTTTGTCCGCCCCTTACTTTCTTCCAACCATCTCGAACACCGGTCCTATCTTTTGATTAAAATATCTACTCTTTACTTCGTGGTAATTTTCTTATCAAAGTACACTATATAGAAGAGTATTTTTTCCAAGTATTAAAAGAATGTTAACGGTGGTGAAAATAGTTTAAAGAATCCATATCGTAATACTATCACCGTCTACTTTTGTTTGTCCTGGATTCCCAAGAATTCATATTAACCTATAAATGCATATAAATAAATAGTATATTTGTAATATCCCAATGAGTAGAAAAATGAGATTTTCTGACGTTTCATGACTTAGTGTAAGTCACTTCTTCAGAGAATAAATAACCAAATTAAAATTAATCCAAGTTCAAATAGTAAAACGTAACAATAAGAATAAGATGTGATCAATCATGAGATCATTCTACTAGAGAAAGGATTAAATCTCAATTTACATAGAAAACCACTTAGCACTCTTGAAATTGCTCCAATTATAAAACCATTAACCACACAACTACCAGAAAAAGAATCACATTTATTACGTCAAAAGATATCCTATATTCTGACTAAACAAAAACATATCACACCAAACATTTCAAAAGAAGGATTGAAGGCTCTGCATTCACTTAAAAAAGACAAAACGATTATCATCACAAAGGCCGACAAAGGCAGCACAACAGTAGTCATAAATAAAACAGATTATATTAATAAAGCTCTTAAACATCTCTCAACAGGACCATATGAAAAGTTCACTCCGGAAAATTCTCTAACGATTAAAAATAAAGTCAAATCAGAAACAAATCAACTTCGAAAGAGCTAAAACCAGTCATTGGTGTCTCGCTTTGCTTTGCTCTGCATCCCAAATCATGTAATGTCTCACGGTTTTACGGTTTACCGAAAATTCCTAAACCAGATATCCCTCCAAGACCGATAGTAGACTTTACCAACACACCAACATATGCGCTATCGAAATATCTTACGGTTATGACCCAGCTATTCCTATTGCTTAGTATTCTCGGACACAGATTCACTCGACAAGTCCCCGAATCAGAACACGGTTCAACTAAGAAAGAGATTATAACACTTAGCAACACATTAAAACCACTACAACTTAACTTACATAATATGATTAAAGATACATATGACTTTAAATCGAAGTTATCGGAACTAATTATCGAGAAGAATGAGATCATGGTAAGCTTTGATGTCGTTTCTTTATACACCAGTATTCCCATTGATAAATGCTTAGATTTCACCAGTGGTTTACTAGAGAACGACAATACTCTTTCTGACAGATGTCAGTTGACTATCAGTCTAATCATGAGATCCTTAAAACTATGCTTAAATTCGACGCTATTCACTTTTAACGGGTTGTTATACAAACAAACTAACGGTGTAGCATTGGGATCCCCCGTGTCCCCGATTGTAGCCAACCTTTTTATGGCACACATAGAATCCAATATCTTCACCCACGACATTATTCCACGAATTTGGCTTAGATATGTAGATGATACATTTGTTGTGATAAAAAAGACTCATCTAATATCTTTTTCAAAACGGATAAATACACTTTCATCTCATATCAAATTCACGAATGAAAATGAAAATGTACATGGTGAGCTACCATTCTTGGATTGCTTAGTAAAAAGAAATCCAAATGGAAGTCTAAACCTATCCATTTACCGAAAACCGACGCACTCAATCGTTATATTGACTTTCATTCAGCACATCCATTCAGTGCTAAGATCTCGCTAGCCTTAAATCTTTTTAGAAAAGCTAACAAGATCATCACATCAGAAGAAAACAAAAAAGGAATGTAATTAGTATCTTACAATTTAATAATTTTCCTATGAAGATTATCAGAAGTTTATTAAAACAAGACGGTCTAGTGCGTTATAATAATAATTCGAATGAAATACCATGGATTGGTACTGCAGTTTTACCATAACGTCATGGCACAACAGAAGAACTCCAAAGAATCTTAAAACAACACAGAATTATAGTATATTGCAAAACAATGAACACACTTCGAAATATTTTAGTTCGCTTAAAAGATAAAATCCCTTTCATTTCCACACAGAACTGCGTCTACAAATTATGTTGTATCGATTGTGATGCCTTCTATATTGGAGAGTAATCTCGAGAAATGTTGACTAGAGCCAAAGAACATATTAGGCACACAAAGAAACCACCTAACAATCCTGTAGAATTGGATAAACTTCAAATTAAATCCGCAATAACAGTCCATGCCATTTTCAACAACCACCAAAATATCAAAATATTGCAAAAAGGCTTTTCGAATTACAAAGAAAGGAGGGCAGCTGAAGCGTTCCATATAATGCTTAATCCTACTTCGCTCAATAGAAAAGAAGGCCTTACCATACATACATCTTACATAGACTGTCTATCCTAGCCATTCAGTCTGATCGTATTTACAATTCACACTATCATCTTACAAATTAAACTCGATCCTTTCTCACCATAAATGTCACACAATTTTTCACCCTTAAACAATGCACACATACATATACACAAATTTACATACATATCACTTATAAATCACCTTGACCGAAATGACATGACATTAACCTGTTCAGACCTGTTTTTTTTTACTGATCACATCTTATTCTTATTGTTACGTTTTACTATTTGAACTTGGATTAATTTTAATTTGGTTATTTATTCTCTGAAGAAGTGACTTACACTAAGTCATGAAACGTCAGAAAATCTCATTTTTCTACTCATTAGGATATTACAAATATATTAATTTTGTTTATAGCAATCTACCCAATACTGAATTTATTCGAAATTATCAAATTAAACCTTGGTAATGATACCTATAAATGCATAGTTGATTTTTGAAGATGAATAAAGTAGTGATTAAACCATATTGATATCGGAAAACATTGTGTAATTCCATTCTTATATATTTATATATAAATGTTCTTAACAAATATATGTGTGATCAGATTGTTCGAAATGTACTACGTTAATATATCACATAGTTCCGATCATCTTCACCTTCTCATTACACTATCGAAATTCATTAAACGGACTAATTGCTTCAAATTTCTTGTATTTTAGTTTAAACTCTTTGGTGTAAGAAATAGAACCCAACCTGAACGACTTTACTGTTTGTTATGGGTTAAATAATAACGACATAAATTGGATAGGGAGTGAAGAGGGAGGTTGATCATGAATACAGTGGTCTTGAGTGCTGTTAGAGGTATGAGGGCGGTTATCACTTCCCGGTTGCCAACACAGTGGGATACGCAGATGACATAGTCCTGTTTGGTGAAGACGCTGATAAAATGCAGAGTCTTTTGGTAGCACTAAGCAACAATGCCAGAATGTTTGGAATGCACTTCTCTCCCTCGAAATGCAAGTTGTTGCTTCAGGACTGGTCTGCGTCAACACCTGAACTAAGGATAGGGGGTGAAGTAATCGAACGCGTTGACAACTTCACTTACCTTGGAAGTCTGATCAGCCCTAATGGGTTGGTGCCTGACGAAATCTCATTCGAAAATCTCGTTTGGCTTTCGTCAACTTATGTCACCTATGGCGAAGGCGAGATATCCGTCTATCAATGAAAGGACGAGTATACTGTGCGGCAGTCCGTTCTGTTCTATTTGACGGCAGCGAAACATGGCCTTTAAGAGTAGAAGACACTCGTAAGCTACTCGTATTTGACCACAGATGCCTTAGAAATATTGCTGGCGTCTGCTGGGATCACCGGGTAAGTAATAGTGAGGTTAGACGCAGGGTATTAGGGAATGATGGTAAATCAGTTGATGAGGTTGTGAATCTTCGTCGACTGAGATGGTTGGGCCACGTGTTACGTATGCCCGAACACCGATTACCACGACGTGCAATGCTAACCGGTGTTCGGATGGTTGGAAGAAAGTTAGGGGCGGCAAAACCAAAACGTGGCATCAGTGCTTGAAGTCACTAACTTCTAATCTGAGCCATGTTGATAGATGCAGACTACTTGGTTGGGGTCCGCGTGACATTCGTAACCAATGGTTGTAGACTCTTGGTGACATGGCTCAGAATCGATCACAATGGTGTAGGTGTATACACTCCCTGTCTTCCCTTAAACTAAGAGAATAAAATCACTTCATATCTTCTACTAACTAATTCTTCCTATACTATATCCTTATTGCAATCTTCCTTTTATATATTACCACCTTTGACCTGAGCACTCCTATGAATCCGGTGTTCATCTTGCTGTGCTAATGAGGTATGGCAACCTAGACCGATGCACATATGTGCCTGGTCCTACGTTGTAGCTGACTGACTGACATAAATTGGAATACGATTTAACTAAAAAATTGGTATGTGGTCGATTCATCATTGACGATAAATTTAGAATCTAATTATACAATATCCCTTAACATTTGTTAAGTGGTAGATAATAAGATTGACTAAGTTAGCATTTACTTACGGATGTTACACTACCTATTCGAATGAAATCTGTTATGAAAATACACCTGATGAACTATAAATGAGTATATGGATATTGGCACCAATTTTTATCGTGCGACTAGGTTTGTTTATGCTCTGAAGCTTTCATTTAACTTTCTAAATAAACTGGAAGAGCCAAACTTAAATGTTTCTGTCATTATCATCTTCAAGAACTGTAAAAAAAATTTTAGTTATCCTTGATATTTTATATGTATAAAATGTGCTGACCCTTATACTTCAGGAATACATACACGCTGTTTAGTAATTGCTTGGTCTAACAAACTAATAATTCTTTCATATGGTGATAGTCATTTTGCTTAACCAGCAAAAATGGAGTCATCAGTTAAACTTTATTCAGAAACTCCTAATCTTAACTCATACATTCTAAGCTGTGTAAATTTGATTTTGTCTTTATTAGTTTTGAAATTTGAACTGTGCCCATGTTATGAATTAGAACAACATATATATAAGTGAACAATATTGTTTGCGATTAGAACCTCGTTAAGCTTTACTCTAATATACAGTATTATTTATATACATATACACTTGTTATCACATTATCAAATTGTACTCTTTACTTACTATATTTATTTATGTAATCTATTCCACCGTTATCACTGAATCATAGACTGCCTTGATTGGTTTAATAATTTCGTATATGGATATAAATATTACTGTTTATTAGTTTTAACATTTGAATGATCTCTGTTTAGAAACCGATGTTTTGGTTCAATGATATAGATATCAATACATCTAATTAACATCAAACCAATGAACTAAATTGTACCATAAAGTTACAACTCATGTGAACATCATACTTCTTAATCGAAATCAATTTGATAGCAGTCTAATATAATAAATATACTAACCATCTCTTATCAAATCTCATAATACACAGTATCATGTGAATAGAATTTAGAATAATTTGACTTCAATATTTTTCATCTTAATCATTACAATTGAAATAAGTGTTTTACAACATACTTTTTATCAAATAAAAAAAAAAAGAAAACATACCAAATCTCCAGTAAATGTTACTAATATGCTGTAGAACTTGTGAAATGTTTCAAAATGAATAAGTTTAAATCAGAAACTAAAACATTTCATGACAATTTTATAAACTGTAGATATTTGATAGAATAAATTACAGAATGAAATAAAACCTTTTAATACTGCGGCCTATGCTCCTACACGAGGTGTAACAGGCGTAAGTAAGTAAGTAAGTAATACTGCGTTTTCTTCGATTCAGATACAAGATAGCTTTTGATTGAGTCAATTATTCAACCTTAAGGTAACCGTTTGATAAATTAAACCACACACCACACCTACCAAAAGTTTCATTGTGTAAAAATGTCTCTAACTAACTATTCCATAATAAAAGATGGCTAGCTGTGGTAATCCAGGACGTGCGTTTCGTCCTATTTGGGACTCGTCAGCTGGATGTACCTGCATCTCAGAGTCAACGTTCACTCCGGGACTCGAACGCAGTACCGTTCGTTTCAAACACCATCGCGTTATCCACTTAGCTACTGAGTCCTGATAGCCACTGCCTTGTGCAATAGGGTGAAGTTAAATTCATTTAGTATTGGTTGTTTGAATCTTCCCGTTGATATTTAGAACTCCATGAACATCAACTCTGAGATGCAGGTAGATTCAGCTGACGAGTCACAAATAGGGCGAAACGCACGTCCTGGATACCACTGCTAGCCACTATCCATCTTTGCTTAGAATGCTTGTGAATTAAGGCAATATCGAGACAATCCACACAGTATGCATATATGCCATTAAGAGACTGATCAATTTTAGTCCTAGAGATCAATGGGAAGATCCCAACAACCGATACAGAATGAATATATCACATAACGGTTTATATGTGTCTGTTTCTCACTAATCACTTAGTGTAACTTATAAGTCCAGTACTGAGTCTGCGAGATCTACTGATACAACCTGGCCACCCAAACAGAAGTATGTGACATGTGGTTTAAACTTATAGCGTAATGATTGAAAGCCAAATAATTTAACCTGTAATCTATCGGAATAAACAAGCTTCCACACAGTTTTGTATTACCTCTCCAAACAACACATGTTTATGGAGTTGTTTTTGCACTATCAACATTATACTGATACCTAATTAACCATCAAACTAACTTCATTCTTTTTATTTTGTTTCTATGTTTCTTTAGGATGGAGTAATCATTTATCAACCTAAAACAGATCTGTATATGTATATAAACATTTTATTTCTGTTTATAACAAACTGTTGTGTCAATTTTATAGATTATGCAGAGTATTTCTTCATTTTCGAACGCTATTCTTACACTATTACTCAACTATTTGTTTATTATCTTTTTTCATTTTCTCATACCCAGTTATCTTTAACCGATAGTACCATATGTATATATCCTTTAATTTATCGACAAGTCAACTGATAAACAATCTGAGCAATTTTTCTTATGATGAACTATCGTGTAACTATTCATTTCACTGACTTTGTTTATTCTTACAGGTGTAGTAAAATTGTACCAGATGCAGTAGCTGTACTGCTAAAAAACACTCATCTATTGACAATTGATGTCTGTTTTTTTTTCATTAAAAGGTTAGTCTATTAGGTAGCGTTTCGCTATCTATTACCTCAAGCGTGTAAAATATGGACTAGCACTACGTAGAGATTATTACGTTGTCAACTTTTATCGACTGAGATGACGATGATGTATGTTACCTACGTCTACTGAGATGCTCTTTCTTGACTAGCTTAAGAGTCTCTTGTAAAGAGATTTAAAGGTGGTCACTTCATAGTAACGATTTCAGTCTAAAAAGTCACTGAAGACCATCATGAACTGTTTTTAGAAGAGAAAACACTCCTTATGGTGTCAGCTAGCTAATCGGAATCTATATTTGGTAGGTTTAGATAATATGGCTCATAATTGGTAAAAGTAATGTAAATTAAGGCTAAACCTCAATCATCATCATACTATTCTATGTTTTGTTGATTCTTTTTGACTTACTTTCTTTTCTATTTTTATTAATTTATCCCTGTTGGTATTACTGTTCGCTCATTGTTCAACTCCTTGTTAATCTATTCTTTTTATGCTGAGATGTAGTTTAGAACTTTTTATCGACAAGTATATGGATCAATTTTTACATTTGACGTCAAATAAAGCTACTTCTGTAAGTCACACACACAGACACAAGGTGCTTAAGCGAAAGGACCTTTAAAACCAGCCTGAGCTGCAGACGAAACGTGTACCTTCTGTATAAACTACTTTCAGCAGTGTGTATGTAAAAGCTTGGAAACCAACACTTGGACAATACTTTCAATGGCGCTTATAAACCATTATTCATACAATGTTCATTAGAGTTAAAGATACATATGTCTAATACTTTTAATGTAATTGTCTTCGTGATGATGAATTTACGTTCCAAACTTTATATCGACTGATTACCTACTACTACTTTGCGATTGAAACCAATTATCTTTATATATACAGCTTGTAATATTTGTGTTAGCAGTTTTACATGAACTAGATTGTCATCGTCCTGCTTGACCTAAGTTTTATTTTAACTGACGTTCACTAGCAAGGCGCGACTCAGGTTTCAAGGGAACTGATGTTTTTATTGAGTTTAGAACCCTTTCACAGACTTTACTACTAAGTTACGAATAATGCCCTAATGAATCCAAAATAGAATGTAACCCAAGTCCATGAGTTTCAGCCGATCACTCCTAACAACTTGATTGTAAACAAACTTCAGTTAATACCGAGTTATTTAGATTAGTGACTACATTGCAATATAGTTAATAGAACTTCAGCAATACTAGGAGTTCTACGCTACGACATTGGTTATTAATCAATCATCAACCAGTGTCCATTCGCAGATTTATAAACTTAGTTGCCACTAAAAAATCTAAGTTTTCCTTATATGTGCCAAAACAATTTATTTTCACTTGAAACCTGTCTTAGTAATCCTTTATCATCTAATAATCCATTAGGTGGTGTTGAAATTTCTATCCTCTCTATAACACTATTTCTCATTCTGATACTTCTTGTTATTGATTCAGCTAAACTTCATTCGTTGTTCATATAAAATACTATCAAAAATTCTATTACACTGTTCTGAATGCTTCTTTTAAATACAAGAATACCATTTGTAGATTAACTTCGTCTTCTTATTACATTATCCAGGCATATAAAAAAGACCACTTTTTAATTTAATTTGAAATTAAGGTCTTTTCACATTGTCTCCAAGTTACAACCCTTTATAAGATTAAAGCGTACTACTCGTAACGACGTCTGTTGGCTACAGTGTCACAAATGATGTAATTTAATTATTGTTAACATTTGTTCTAGGGTTGCAAAAAATGAATGAGCACATCTATCTAATGAGCCATCACTAAAAGTTTATTTAAGTCATCTATGACGGTTTGATGCATGCACGCCTAAACGAGTGTCTTTCATTTCTATTGATCGACGTTGTTTTGGCAGCGTTTGCAATCCTGTGTTTGGTGAATTCATTCTTATAACCTTAAACATTTTTAAAAGTAAATCTATCACTTACTTTTCAAAAATATCACGTTTATGGCCAATTCTAACTTATAACAATCTCCGTATTACATAGCAGTTGACTGCATTTATAATTGTGTTTTTTTTTCAAAGAAAAGCGTCCATTTTCTTTGTAACCGCAACACTTGAAAACAAACTAAAGAATTATTATTTCATAACAACAGCACAAACTCACTACATCTTTGAGGTGAACTTATAACAATTTAAAAACGAGGATTTTCATTTTCTATGATGTCATTTACTGAAACTGCGCAAGTTAGTTAAGTGTTGCCTAAGCTTTTTACATATCTCTGTGATGTTTTCTTCAAAAGCAACGCTCAGTAAAAGAGTATTTTATTGCTCTTGTAGATTATTTTTCAGGTTGCCTGTTCTCCTTTACGTTTCAACCATATGATCCGAGTATATGGCCACTTTTTAGACTTATTTATTAAGGTTTAGCTAGTTTCACATTGATAATGACATTGGTTAATTCTTGTCTAACTCAGGAACGGAGAGCAAATTAAGTTACTCAATGGGGATCAACTTTGAAAGTTTGTATAATGGCTATCGCAAATCAGTTTTCTATGTGGGAAGCTATCACTACAGTATTCTCTGAACCGGGTGTAAGTTAGTCATAAGGCGATCTAATAACGACCCTACTACTATACCAGTAATCTGTTTATGGTACTCGTTATTCAATCCAAACGGCATGTTAAGTGTATTGTAAATGTTCTTTACTGTAAGTATTACTCAATCCCTCCTATTTGAAGTAGACGTTGTTGATATTTTCCAGAACTATTGTGTTAGCTCAGTGAACGAGACACTACCAAAAGCATCCAAATTAGTTATCATTTCATAATAGTCCGTTAACTGTAGATTTCTTATTCGCATTTGTAAGAAAAATGTCTTCGTTTGCGCATTGAATTTTATAAATTGTGATACACCATAAACCAGTATTTTAATTGTATAGTCACGTGAGTTACGATTCTCAGTGGTATAAAGTACATGTAACCAATCAGCTAACTTCTTTACTTGATAGGAGGTTTATTGAAGTGGGAAATTCTGTAGTCTGTCGATCAATCATGTAAAAATAAATGCTGTTACTGGCTTAAAAGATACGATAACAAGTCAAATTACTTTAGTTCTTTATGTATGTTTAAGAAACAGCTATCTTTTCTTTAAAAATACGCTTTAGTTAGGGAATTTCGAATATTTATTTATATTATTGCTGTACGCATGTGTATCTAGTTCATATCCCGAGTATGTGATTTATTGTATAACCCAAGCAAGTCTTTAGAATATGTAACGATCGTAAATAATACACGTCCACCGTTCATCAAAGTCAGATGAAAACAACACTTAAACCTAATTCACCCCCGAATGCCCTGGTACGGCCGAGAGTGGGGAGAGTCCGCTCTCCCTCTCGAAATACTCTCACACGGCCACAAGTATATAGCCTCTGCCAGGGAAGTCCTACTCACTGCCTTCTCGTGGCGAGGGTGTTGTTTACGAAAATGAGAGGACAAAAAGCGAATGTCTGGCGCTTTAACCGGATCCCAAACCAAACCAATGGTGCACATGGGCTCCAGTATCCTGAGCGAACAAATTGCCTATGAACCAATCGTTGGTCACCGGCTACCATGGGACTGCATCTCCTCACGATGCTCCATTGCCTTGTGAATCAGACCTTCAGGTCGAAGGCTCGGGGAATGGCCCTCTAAGAAAACCACCTGCTTCGGTTTGGGCACCCAGGCAGTATCACAGCCCTCACAGATATCAAATAAGATTTGTGTGGCGCATATGTATTTGGTGCCTCCTTGTACCAATATCTATGTGTTAAAATAAATAAAATAAAAATTCGTATGATGTATCAACATAAATACCTAGGTTTGAATAATTTCTTCTGGTTAGCGTTTTTTAGCGAGTTAGTTTTCTACGGGATGGGGACGCTAACCCCATGCCCAACCTTCCTCCTTTATCCGGGCTTGGGACCGGCAGTAACCCCCGGAGGGACTTCAGGCGGAGTTAACATAAGTACCTAAGTTCATTGTTATTCGATCAACAAACAAACGTACAAGATTAATGTTAAATATTTAATTGAATATGATACACATATTATGACTCACGGTGTCTAAATGCTGACACTGAAGCATATACAAGCCTGGCTGTTATCAAAAAAATTCGAAGAGTAAGAAAGGAAGCTTATATGGCTAGTTCAATACAATTTTGTGCACTGATCCGTATACATACATGTCCATCCGTTGTAAAACTAAGTATATCAGTGAATAATTGAGAGAAACTACTTAATAATCATCTCCAAACTTTCAAAGGAGGAATTTCTAACACAACAACCTTATTTCTACATGATTTGTCCTGTTACTTTTCAGAATAACTATCAATCCCTTCAGCGTTCATTTTAGTTCCTTGCTTGTTCTAAATAGAAAGTAATGAAGACTATATTGAAAAAAAACTGGCGTATTTGCAATACTCACTTTCCATTTGGCACTTCTGTTAGGACCATTGCATGGATTATTCATAAGTATTACACCTAAAGAAAATTTCCTTTATACCATATGTCTAAAGTAGACTTTTACTCCACTAATTACAAAATTTTATCATGAACTTCAATAGAGAGATATTTTGTTTAGGTCTTCAGTATCATAGCTCAAGTATACTTTCCAAAAATATTTTGAAGATTGAATCCCTCCATTGATTTCGAATGAGCGTCTTCTCGAAATATCCTCGTTACTCTAATAGTAGGTTATGAAGTTTCTATCTTTTAATTCGTTTTCACCACCATGGAGTAACGCACAGCTATTCCATCACATTTTTCAGTGCGTACCCACTAATTTCATTCAGGGTCACACCTAAAACATTCTCTCCTCAAGGAGAACATAATATTCTTATATCACTGAGTAGGAACACATCTATCCGCACTTTTAACTTTAATTATTTCGAGATAGACCGAAACTGTATGTTTGGTGAAAATTCGTTCCCAAGTCTTCATCTCTAGGTACTGAGTGCCTTA